TTTCTTGAGGCTACTAATAAATAAAAGACCGATCACTATTCGTAAAAATCCGTTAGTTTATTCCTTCTACATAGAAAATATGAACATAATTTGGAACTTTGCCGCCTAACAAGAAAAAGTGCTTATTGCAGGCAGTTTGCTTTGCTCTCGATGCCAGCATTTTTTTTGGCTGAACAAGTTTCCAGTGTCGTATATTGCGTCTGAGGAAACTTATTGATGTAACTGTGCGTGGAGTATGTAGATTTTGCATTGATTTGATTTGTTTGTCTGCAAATCAAGCCGTAGGTGATCCCAGCCCAGTCAAACGGCAATTCTGAGAATGTTAATATTGATAAGGTTTTATTTTGCAGTCTTCACGTCGTGCTTCTGCCTATGGGACTTCAGGGCCAACACTCCCTGTCGCAACCTAAATCGCGTAGCATGTAAAGCGCTCGAGTGCAATCTGCCAGTTGCTCAATCTGCTCCTTTTCTCCGGTAGCCTTTGACGGACAGAGTTCTCGGATATACGCTGTAGCCAGAACAGAAAAACTCTAAAAGAGTTTACCCATACCAGCTTGCGTGCGCCATTTCGACAACAACGCGTTAGCTTCGTTCAATCTTGCTCATTTTCTCCGCCTACGTACTCCGCAGCTTTATCACTTTTCGGTACAGCCACTCTTGCCATGGGCGCAACTGCTTTATATTCCGCGATGCATCTTCGTACACTACAATATGCGCATGGCGAAGCCCTTGTCCTTGACAGGAAATACCGCTGCCGGGTGGTACGGTTCGATCAAAATGTTAACTCGTCCAGTATAGCCGTCGCGCAAAGTTGCCTCTATTTACCACATAAAGTCAATCGCGATCAACATTTGTCCTGGCTTTAGATCGTTGGTTTCTTCGATGCAAAAGGAAGACTACCCAGTTTCTCAGCAGCATAAGCTCCACAGTGACTTGTGACTTGAATGTGAATTACGTGTTATCACTCCACTGGCCTTCAGCACTTTTTCACGTCTCGAGCGTTGATATGCACAAGCCTTGCGTGCCAGACCGCCAAATCATTTTATTCATTCCAAGACGCGAGATTGGCCTCAGCGAAATTATCCATATTGGACGACAATGCTATGTAGAAACCACTACCGCTTCTGTCGCCACAGTCTTGGCGCAGCCGCGTTTACTTACGCTACCTAGTTGTCGAGGGTTCGGTAGACGCTAGTAAAAGGTAAGTGGGCCTTCCCTCGATGCGTGGCTCTCAATGTCATACCGCTGGCTGCAGCCATGTTGATGCGGGCTTCAGAACAGCGCTCCACACTTCACCTCCAGATTAGGCTGGATTTGCTGTGCCCAGATGCGGTAGCCCATTCCGTCGAAATTTAGAAGTTTAGGGTCATAGTGTTAATGCTGGAACTCATAACGTGTTACAAAGTTGGTAAAACGAACAATGATGATTACAACTAAATGCAAAGTTTGGCTATGTGGTACTTCTGTGCCTCTTAGCTGTCGTGGTCAGCGACGTGCCTGACCTTGCCGTTGAGCTTGGAATGATGACCTGGGGGCGATGATGACACCAGAAAATGTTGCACTTTCAGCTCAAATGTGTGTGTCATGCTTGAAAAGTGACACTGTTTCCAGGCTCAATTAATTCAAAAATAATTGCCACTTACAGCACTTGTTTTCAAAAGGACTGACGTGAAGGCCGCGACTCGCCGCCGCTACAATCCGTCTCAAGACTTCTGCAGACCGCAAAATTTGATAAAGTTTTTCGGCTCCACAAAGCTGTCTATCTTGATTTTAACAGGTTTATACCTGAATGTTGCGGCTCAAAGCCCCCCCTATCGTTGAGAGCTGCCCTAACAAGCCCTTAGGCTGTCGCAGCTTCAACTCTCCCATACAATATATCGCACACATTTACTCTGATGAATTTAAATATCAACGTCATAAAATAGCTTTTTCATAATCCTCGAATAGTCGTAATAAAGATACGATTTTAATATCTGCAGAATGCCATGCATTACCGTGGATTTATTACGCAAGCGGGCAGAGCACAATGAAGGAATGATTTCAACGCTCGAAGAGATATCTTTGCATCAAGAGGAGCTTGAAAAGATTCAGGTGATTGGTACCATATGTCGTAAGCTGCGCATTTTGTACCTGCAGAACAATATTATCGACAAAATTGAAGACTTGACACATCTTAAGGAGCTACGATACCTGAATCTGGCTCTTAACAACATAAGCAAGATTGAAGGGTTGCAGAATTGCGAATTTCTTGAAAAACTCGATCTCACCTTAAACTTTGTGGACTTTGACACGCTAGAAGAGAGCATCGACCATCTGAAGCCTTTGCAACACCTTCGAGAGCTTTACATGCTCGGAAATCCATGCCAATCCAGCTGGGAAACCGGGTTTCGTGAGTACGTGATTGCAGCGCTTCCTCAAATTGAAATACTGGATGGAAAAGAAGTTCAACGTAGTGATCGGATCAAAGCGTTACAAGTCTTCCAACACCGACAAAGTTATGTACGTCGCGAAGCAACAAACGTGCTTTCAAGGAAAGCACAAGAAAGAGCAGAGGATAAAGCAGTTATTGAAGTTATTGGCGGCACAGCGACAGATATATCGGAAAAAAGGTCAGTAATGGCATCATCAGAGAAGGTACCGTACACGCCACACACTCGTCGAGAAATGTATCGTGAGATGGCAGAACAGAAGAAAGAAACGGAAGCTCGTAGACGTGAAAATCAGCCAAGGGAACGAAACATGGAAAGAGAGCACAACTTGATGCTTCAAAAGGTTCGCGAACAGGAAGAATCAGCAGATGGCACTGTCCGACAATGCAACGAAGGCAAATGGGACTTTCAATTGATGGACGAAATTTTCGAGATTATTTTAGAAGTACATCTTCCTCGCTTTTTGGATACGTCACTTATAGATGTGGACGTCCACCCTTCATATGTTTCAATTGTTGCAAAAAACAAAGTTTTTCGACTTAAATTTCCGGAGCTTGTGCATTCGGATGCAGGAAAAGCAGAAAGGTCGAAGACCACTGGAACTCTGTGCCTAACTCTTCCAAAGGCTCACATAACTTCGACGCAACATTTACGAGCTCAATTTCACTGCAAGGGGCACAAGAACAAGCCAGAAACCAAGAAAGTAACGCCGGTTTCAAAAACGGTCGCAAAACAAATCAAGATTTCAGACGAGGTGTTGCAGTTTATTGGGTATTTCCTTCTTACATCTTGTTGACTTGTATTTGCATTCTGTTGAAATGAACAAATATAGCTGCTGGAAGCTGCAGAGAAAGTTTCGTCGGAAAAATGCCGTACAGTTAACATTCATGGGCTTGTGAAGCAGAATTATAATGACGACAATTTATGTCATAAGCAAGTGCAAATGACTCCAGTACTAACGAAGGTGTCAGCAGAGGATGACGATGATTCTCCACCTCTTGTTTTCTAGCAATTTAACGCTTTAGCTTATGTAAGTTGAGTATATAATGCATGTGATGAGGTGCGGACATTATGCAATGATAAATGTGAAAACATTTAGCGAGGAAACTTGGTATAAATCGATTGTTGCCACCTATCAGAGTTTTGGTCTTGACGTAATTTCAGAAAAAAGCAAATTATTTACCAAATAAAAATTAACGTATGTGGGCGTTGCTCGCTATATAGCACCTCGTTCGAGATTCGTAAACAAACTTCTATGTGATGTTGTACCCATTGAAGCATCTATGAATGAGTATTGTGTCCAGCTTAATGATAATCTTGCCAGTATACGAAATACTTTCCAGTCCGCGAAACTCCGTCGGGTCGATTTCTCATTCAGACTTCTCTGGGCTATCAATTTCGTGATTGTCTCACACAATTGAGCAAAATGTGGTTCAACTGGCTCAAAAGCACAGGCTCATTCAACTTTTCATCATGATAGGCGTGTGTATGTTTGCTTTTGTTTGCCTTCTCATATAGTTTATGCTAACGTAGCAACTTTTCACCTGGCAGCTCCAAGTTTAAGTCCCAGTGTAAACATATCACGTCTCATGTCGTTTTAGATACAAACTTGTTTTTTCCTCAACTACCCGCCTTTTCAAAGAAGTTGAAAAATATAGCCAACGTAAAGGACTTGCAGATAGACTCCATGGAAAAGTCAAGGCCGTTATACTTTGTCTCAGCACACCTACCATGTCCTCTTTCACGTAGTAATATGCACAACAACTCAGCCTTTCCGTTGAAATTGAAGGTGACACCAACGTGGTTGCCAGCGTGTTTCGGATACGACAAACGGAGTAGTTGAAATTCATTGACCAATACATTCCAGAGCGATAGGAGCCGAGAGACCACCAACTGTCATGAAGAGCTCGGATATCTGATAAAAAAAAAATGTCCGCGGAAGCAGTAATTTCCGCAACATGCCAGCCAATAGAAGTGCAATGGCTGTATATCAATGTTGAATTGTGTACTCTCTAGCATTAAGGGACACTAATTCTAGTGATCGTTCACTTAGCTTAAAAGACAGTACCATCACTCTTAATTTTGATCGGTGAGCCACCATCAGCGCGTTTTTCCTTCGCAATTATACGACCAGCCTTCCACGTTCCTCCTTCAAGCATCTAAAGTATCGTATGAATACAATTCGAGGGTGACTTAGGAAAAGATTTAACTGTGTCATACCTTGACGAGTGGAAAAGAGTCAGCTGTGAGCTGGAGGCGCTCAAGAATCATCACGTGAAGTTTGTCCAAAAGTGCAACCGTGAGCGCACGCCATTCGACAATTACATCCGCGCTTGGATCAAACTCGTCCGTCATGATTTTAGCCGATTTGGGAACCAGCACACCAAAATCCACCAAAAGGCCACCATTGCGATACTCAGGTAATCCTAGAAAACCCATAACAATTCGATTCATCATTGAAGCTAGTTTATATTTAAATCGTACCAGTCATCAGGTTAAGATCTGTGATCTTGAATCCAGCATCTTGAAGCGGTTCCATTAGTGAGTAAGTCAGCCACTGTGTGAGCTTGTGGAAGCTCACAAACCTGCCGGCCTTTTCATGTTCCGGCAAGTAGCTGATGATCAAATAAAAAGCACACGTATTAGTCACTTTCCACCAAATTCAACAAAAAGCTTGTCACGAACGCCAGCTCCCAAACATCACCCATGTTTTGTCCATCAATCTGAATTCGGTTTGAAGGCCAAATGTCTTGAAGTCCATACAATACGACCTTCCAGAGTTCCGTAATTGACACTTCACCGTTCTCTCCCTGGTGTCTCGTCAAATAATCCACCATATTTCCTGGTCGAATGGAACCGTCTGCTCCAGCAAAGAACTCAGGGTAATTACGAAGACATGTCCCTAAACGCTATTCATAACTCAAAACAGCCCACAATATCTCGTCAGCCTTTACATCCACAACAAAAACCACAATATTAACCTTCAGCATTTCCGTTCTTCCAGCGCATCCAACCAATGGGTTTGCATCTGACTAGTCATCACAATTAAGAAAGCTTAAAAAGAAAACGTCAAAGATGAAATATTTTTATGTGTACTTACCGCTTGAAAAGCTATTGCAATTCCGTCATCGGCCAAATTAGCCAGTGCTATCGCGTCCACTCGATGTGGCTCTTTCTTCGGATCGACCGAAAACTTCCCCGCCAAAAACATGTGAAAACTGGCAATACCTAGGCCTTCACTGCGACTATAAAAGTCCTGAGTTCCTGGTTCCTGATACTTCCACATCGGTCCAGCCCCAGCATCCAGCAAGACACTTACGAGTGCCAGATCAAGTAAACGGCGAGCCTTCTCCAATTTATCGCAACTCCACGATGCCGTCATATTACCAACGCGATGCAGATTCCCAGTCTCGAAGTGGCGCCAACGCGAGTGAAATGGGACATTGACCTCGTTGGGTGTAGGATATGACTGCCGAATGACGCTGACGACATAATCAGCAAGCGCTAAAGTTTTGGTCTCGTCCACCGAAAAGTTAGGCAGCTGGTCTTTGATTGCAAGGGATAAGACACGATGGCATCCATCGCGAATTGATGGGAGCGAGCGCAAATACGTCACTTGGTCGGCAGGAGATACGGGCATCTGATAAAAGGAAGCAGAAATTCTAAGTGAATTTAGATCAAAATCTACAACATGCTGTTGTAACTAAGTACGATACTTGTGTCTACTTCAACACAACAAATACCGATACACACATGAGTATTCTAAAGAATAGATTAGCAACCTCCTACAAATGATAAGCATCTTGTACTTTCAAAAATGCCCAGCAAATTGATCAAAAGTGACCAAGTCAACGCGACCATGCAGTACGCAATGGTGATGCCACCAAACAGACTACTTCGGCAACCGTTGCGCTTCAGCTTTTGTGTTTCAATCTTCTGTCGCGGCAGCAAGACGAGCAATACTAAAGAAAGTAGTTTGCACGTGTACGAGATAAGGACAGCAATGGTAACATTGCCACGGGTCGAGTGCGAATCGTTCAATATGTCCCGGTTACTGACTGCAAACGATTTATTGATTGCCTTGGTAAGGGTAGCCGAAAATGGGTTGCTCAGATTACCGACCGTTGTTAATAAACCGTAGATAGCAGCTTCATTACCCTCATTTGCTAGCTCAACGACTACAAAGCTTGAGACGATGAAGTTAATACCCAAAGGAATACTCTCTACAACGGGCAAACCAAGCCAAAACCACTGGTTGCGTATGATATCCCACGTTGTGAGCATTGTACACATCGCATCAATTCCAACCACAGCGACTGTCGTGAAGATAATCACATGACGCCAGTCCCAATCTAGCCCATATCGTCCCATCAACGCTAGAGTGCTGGCTGTCACTCCCGAAGCAATAATTTGAGAGATTGAGATATTGAAGCTCGTCGCACGAGCCCAATACATCGTAACCGGGTCGGAAGCCACGTAGCTAATATTACTAAGTACTCCCGAGAAAAAGCTGTACGCAATAACTTGGTAGACTGCTCGACTCTGCAGCGTCTCCCACAAGTTGCTCATGTAAGTGCGTAATTTGGGTGTGATCACCCGCGTTTCTGCGACGTAGGACCATGTCACTGGAATCACAGGTACACAACAGACCGCTAGAATTAACATGCACATAGGAAAGGAAATGCCGAAGTTAAATTCTCCACCATACTGTGGTGAGCTAAGGCCAAATCCCACCACAATACTCCCGAAAATGCTAAAGATACTTCGAACAGTGTAGATTGCAGTCTGAGTCCGTCCTCGCATCACAATAGGCTCGCGCTGTGCGTACTCGACAACCACACCATCCGCTGCCACGTCTGCGATCACGTATCCCAGCGTCGCTAGCATCATTAATACGACGTACTTGCTTCCAGTAGCAGGAGCATGATAGTTGATAGCAGCGACTTCCTCGATAGTATAACTACTCGGCTTCATTTGTCGCCATGAGGCCTCAGGAAAGTAAGGTTTATCCAATGGAAATGTGGCCATCACGACAAGACAAGTGAGGCAAAGAGTCCAACCAATGACCATGAATGGCCGACGGCGGAAGCCACAGATGGGGAAGCAATCTGAAAGTATTCCAATAAAAACTTTGACGGACCATGGAATTCCAAGCAGCGCACGGGCAGAAGTTGTGACTTGACCTTCCATATTGAGGTAATAACCTAAAAAAGGCGTAATTGTACTGGGTAGCGCCCCCATCATCAATCCAACTGTGGCATATTGCGCCAACAAGCCACACGATTCCGACGAAAATAGGTTGAGAGCCCCGCCGTCTCGTAGTGCCCCATCGTCACTACACCAACCTTCTTCTTGGTTGGTTCGGTGCAGCTCATCGTAGACGTCTTGGTGAGATAATTTAACAGAATCCAAGTGCTTTGGCGCTACCACGCGGCACAATCGGTTGAGCATTCTTTGAAATGAAGAAAAGGAAGAAGGTGGAAAACTTCACAATGAGCAAACTTGCGCTCCAACAACTTTTCGTCCCACAAGAACTTAAACAAACTTTGTCACACTGCGCAACATCATCTGATTACTCAGTTTGACCTCTGTTGTTTGTTTAAATTGCGTCGTCGAGTGGAAGATGTGATTTGTTAGTTCAAAACATGAGAAGGTTGGTGAGATAATTAGATAGAATTTTTGTGCTCTGGCGCTACCACGCGGCACAATCAGTTGAGCATTCTTTGCATTGAAGAAAAGGAAGAAGGTGGAAATCTACAATGATAAACTTGCGCTGCAACAACTTTCGTCCCACAAGAACTCGAACAAACTTTGTCACACTGCGCAACATCATCTGATTACTCGGTTTGACCTTTTTGTTTGTTTAACTTGCGTTGTCGAGTGGAATATGCGATTTATTTGTTTAAAACATGAGAAGGCAAATGTATATGTGTTAACCAACCAAGCAGTTTCTTTAAAGACCCCAGCAACAATGTGAAGAAGTCATTGCATTTAGACAAGCAATAGTATGAAGCCATATGAGTATGAATATACAGCCCTATTGGTTAAAAATCTCCTTGTCTTTTCGAGGATTTTCATTTTGCCCAAAAATCATTCAAACAAATATCTCTGCAGAGAGACAATATTGCTTATATACAGATCAACTCAGCCACCTAGCATCATCTTCGATATGAGGAGATGCCTAGCAAGACAATGCCAATATTTCAACATTGATTTTCGCGTGCATAGTAGTAGAAGAAACACATTGGTGGACATCGTTACAGTACCAGCAACTTTTTTCAAGCCAATTCATCAATCTGTCATTCTAAATATGCTGTGATCTATCTTAATACGCGAACGAACTCTCGACCTGATATGAAACATTCACTGCTATTCGCTCGCTCAAAAAGGTTTCTATTATCTTGATGGTTGACTTAATTTTTGCCCACCCGTAGGTGAGTGAGTTATTTTAGTAAGTGACTTATCTTTCTATTTTTCGAGAGCTGATTAGTCTATGCAGGTGCACAAGCGGTTTTCCTTCATTATACCCTCGTTTCTGGTGGGTAAAGGGAGACTTATTTACTAGATATCGAACCGACTACCACTGGGCCATCAGACCAGTAGCCTTAGAGGGGAAACCGTGCATCGTTCTGAGTCGTACATTGGTCTAAACTGCCACCGCGATCGCCAATTTTTGAAAAATTCGGTTGTCGATATTGACCATTGCTAGTTTCCATGCAGCTCTTGAAGCAGGTGGTTGGACAGATTGGAGAGGCTTGGCTGAAGTTTGTGAATTGCTGATCACTTTAATCGTCGCATGACTAATGAGCTCACTCTTGATCCTGGGTTCGCTGCGATGTCTGCGGCACTGAAACTTCTCTGAAGATGCCCTTTTTGTACATTACCAGAAACAAAGCGACAAAGCATAGCCGAATAAGTCTACCGTAGTTGGGTGTACATACACATCACAAGTTTGTGCAATTTTCAAAACACATACACTTTTAGCAATTGTGCGCAAGTCAGAGGACCAAAAGTAATGGTGCTGATGGAGTGTAAAGCACGGCATGTTATTCAGCTCGTACAATATATTTCGAACATGAATTAGAGATTTAGTATTTACACAAAATTTTAATAGGAACAAAGAAAATCTTGGTTTATTGAAAGCCGTCGGATCCAATCCTAAATGATCGTAGAAAGTCAGCCCCACTCCGTTTGCAGTGCATAGTCTTTTATTTCAAAGCAATGCTAGAAGGAGACTTGACGGCTGAACCGTAAGAAAGTAGGTGCACTATAAGGACGGAACACTAATTGTCTGCCTAGCTGTCTTTGAGATTACCAGACGCGCGCTTGATAAGCATATGTCTTTTGTAGGGGGCGAAGCGACAGCACGCTTGGTGTCAAGGGTCAAAACTTCAAATGGCTCGCCTGGAGGTGCATACGAGTAATGAGAACGCGTTTGTGAGACGTTCACCAGGAACGCCCCAACCAGGCGTCGAAAGGAGCCGGTTGTGTTCCCGCCGTGAAGCCGCTAATACGAAGCGTTCTGATCTTTGGAGGCAGAGCGCGGAAATCATCTCTCTGGTATCATATATTTTAGGATTATATCTATTTGGATAATACTAATTCTATACGTTTTACTATATAGACTACAATCCTCGTTAGCAATTTAAAAAAATGGATACAGAAAACTTGCCACACAATGGAACACAATGGAGCATTTGCAATTCGTATTTTTGAATGAATGGGTTAGCGCGATAAGATTCAATCGATTGCTTGAATGCATGATATCCAACAAGACTTCATTGTCCAGGTTGGATATGTTGGCACAATAGGCATGTTAACACTATCAAGTTTAAGCTAACTCAACTCCGCACGCCCATCTTTAAAAAATTACGATATCAATTCAAGACATGCGGACGTCGTCCGTACTATTAGCAGGCGGCTGTCCCCACGTAGCGTAGTCAGCGCGTTCACTGGCCTTATACTCATCCACTAGATTCTGTACGACCTCGCGAGCGCTATCAAACTCGTCCAGATTGTCAGCAAACATGGGCTCTTTTCGATAATTTTCAATAAAAGCTCCGTGCTTTTTAAGTCGATCGTATTGTAATAATAATTTGTGGAATAGTGCGCCTATGCTCGTATGATTGGCCAGCATGAGCCCATTCACCTTGTGTGCCGTCTCCACATACGGCGATTTACGCGATAAAGCTACTTGAATCGAAGCAGGTCCCCACGGAATAAAGCGTGCGAGCTTTCGTTCCCGAATCCGCTGCAGCGACTTATGCACTTGAGTCGGATCCACATCTCCTTGAATAATATTAAGTATCGAGATGTAGCATCCCGTCTTCGTCGATGTGCTCACCATAATATTCTTGGGCTGCAACAGACGTCGCATTACATCGAGTACCGTCGTTTTCCTTACCGTTGACACTTGCGCATCAATTGTCAGAGGAGTGTATCCTGTCATCAAAAAATGGCACCGAGGGGTCGGGATTAATGATGCTACGAGTCCAATAAGATCGTTATTCATATACCCAGGGTATCTTAACGTCGTGGTACTAGCAGCCATAACAGTGGATACCAGCGAATTTAGCTGGGAAACCGTTGGGTTCTCCACTCTTAGCCTCTCTACTGCTATCCTGTTCAGTGCTGTGTTGTCCAGCACGACCACTGAATCTGCATTCAGTACCAGTCTCTTCATTGTGAGTAGCGAATTGTACGGTTGTACTACCACATCACTTTGAAAGTCTGCTTGGTTCGGAAACACGGAATACGTTTGAATGAGCTTTTTCGGAAAGTGATCGTTAAGATTTTCCAATAGGTAAGAGCCCATACCAGAACCAGTACCACCAGCAATGGAATGACACAATACAAAGCCTTCAAGACTGTCAGATCCATCCGCTTCTCGGTCAATCATCTCCATCAATTGATCATGATGCATTTCTCCTTGATGGTACCCCGACGCCCAATTGTTGCCCGCACCACCTCCTTCTTTCGACACAAAAAAATTTTCTGGATTATATAGATTCTTAAAGCTTGATGTATTGATAGTGTTGATAACACGCGGCTCCAAGTCCATAAGCAGCGCTCGAGGAATATAATGCTCGTCGTCCGCTTGGTAGAAGAAAACGTCCTTTCGGTCGTGTCCTGACGTTGCGAAATCCTGCACAATACCATCCGCTGAAATGCCGTGCTCCACGCACAATTGCTTCCAAAACTCCATACCAATCTGGTTGCCGCATTGGCCCGCCTGCAGAGTGATGATCTCGCGCGGCATCACCGAGTTAGATATGTATAATTATGTAAACAGTTGTGTATATAAAATGTGGCAGCACGCATGTTGCTAAATCAGTACGCTTGCAATACTAATATTCGTACTTTGTGGAATGTCATATGCATAGGGTTCA